CTTTCAGTTATGCAACAACTAGTTCTGCTCTTGGTTACACCACACATCTACTGGTGCAACATCCTGAAGTGCAGGAAAAAATCAGACAAGAGGTAGACGAGCTTGTTGAAAATGAAGTACGTAAAATACAATATAACTTACCACATTGACTCATCAGTAATATATCGTTTTAGATGTTGTAAACAGTGCTCATTTTATACATAGTTGACAACATACTTTCACAAAAATTTGTATTCACTTACAGAAGCTAGAAATTACGAGTAAAATATTAGTTACTGTTAACTTAGTTTACTTTAGAACATACTCACAGCTACAATGATCTAAAACTAATCAACCTTTTCTGTGGAGGATGCCAGATCAGATCGAGTTTACGTTTACTTTGTTTTATATAGAAACACTATTTTTCACAGAAATTTAATATTTTAGGGAGAAAACTTGGACTACGTGTCTGTTCATAAACTGCGTTACCTGGATCAGGTTTTCAGCGAAAGTCTTCGGGTTTATCCACCAGTTTACCTGTAAGTTTTGAGTATTTCTATATGAACACAAAAGTGAACTATTTCTTAAAGAAGCCTAAAATATACGATTGAAATATTTGACGTTTAGAACAACACAAAAATAAAGTGAAATTCATTTTTTTATTTATGATAACGAAATCTTTGGTATATTAGATATTAACTATCTTAAATTACTGAAACTATCAAAGTCACCATTGTTATATGAAATCAGTATAATTTGATTTAATATTTGGCATATATATCAGTTATATTTCTGTAATTAAATTCTTCCTATTCCGGAAATATCGAAAATTAGCTTGTGCACTTTTTTAATCTTATATCGCAATGGAAACTACACGTATTTGTTTAGTTCCTGTTCTGACTGAGATCGGAGTAAAATATACCTACAAGTGGGTTTACTCCGAAAGATACACTGTATATTTGTTATTTGTATAAATAATTCATTCAAGTCCTAACGGGAGAGAACTGGACGAGTGAATAACACATCACTCTTTCTAAAACGATGACTCAGGATCAACCAGATCTACTGATAGAGACATAATTAGTAAATTAGTGAAGTTTGCTGACGACATTAACTCTTGAGTATGTCTAACTATATTGATGATGTTGATATAATACAGAACTACTTGGATCAATTGGTAAATTGGGTGATAGTTAACAAATGACCTTTAAATGCAAAGTAATGTATTTGTATTCTCAGATCTTCGATGATACTTTTAATATAGTTAGAAACCTGCTAAGTAGAGTGACTGAAGAAATATAACTTATCATAATGATTAATGGAATTTTAAGGTGTATTTATAGAAATATTGACTACAAATAAAGACAGATATTTACTATCTATACAAATCACATGTTAGGCCTTACTTGCAATACTCGGTACAGTTTTTGACTTCCTTGCCTAAACAAAGATACTGACCACTTGGAATGGGTTCAGAGGAGGGCTATACTAGAATGGGTCTGGATGTGGACGGTTATCTTATACGGACAATTTACTATCTTTTATATGATTTTCTCTTGAGAAAAGGGGTGGGGGCAGGGTAAGCTGAGATCTTAGTGAATATTACATGATTATTCCGGAGATCGATAAGATAAAGGTCTCTGACTTCTTTACGCTGTATTCTGAAGAAGAGCTTGAAGTCACGAATTTAAGATTTGTAAAAAAAAGAGGTTAGGCTCTAGTTCAAGAAAACTTTATTTTTTCATAGGGTGACTGACTTATAAATAACTTGTCGGCAGTAGTGGATTCTCGAACTTCACACGAGTTTAAAAGGGGAAATATGGGTCTACTTGTTCTGAAGGACCAAATGTTGTCCTTATGTTATGTTAATGTCATGGAGAAATTATAAAATAAGAAAAGTCGTATACCAGCGAAGTTGAAGAAAAAAAAAACAACAGTAGTCATGACTAGAACGATTTACCACATTTAATTATATAGAATATATTGTTTTCTACAGCTCTCAAATACTTAGAAAATGACAATTGTACATAATAATATTCCAGTTAGATTATCAGTTTCTGTCATAAATAATTAGTTGTTTTATAATGTTAGGTTTGTTAATCGAGAGGCAAATACAGATATAACATATGGTTCCATCCAAATTCCGAAGGGAATGGCTGTACAGGTTCCTGTTTACCACCTTCATCACAACCCAACTATCTGGTCAGACCCTGAAAAGTTTGATCCAGAAAGGTAAATAGAAATTAATATATTGTTGTTCTTTTTGTTTTCAGCTTCTATGACCTAGTGGTTGTTACCGTATGCTGTGTCTTTTTGTTTTCAGCTTCTATGACTTAGCGGCTGTTAACGTATTCTGTGTCTTTTTTTTTCCAGCTTCTGTGACTTAGTGGCTGTTAACGTATTCTGTGTCTTTTTGTTTTCAGTTTCTATGCCTCAGTGGCTGTTAACGTATTCTGTCTTTTTTTTTTCAGCTTATATGACTTAGTGGCTGTTAACGTATGAAATGCAGCATGACAATGCAAATGTATAGAAATATCGATAACGTTTCGGTATGTGTATTAGAAGGTCTAGGGTTTGATCCATGACATGCCACCGAATGCGATCATACTTTAGCTGTGCAGCGTTATAACGTTGAAAGTCCGTAAACTTACCGCTTATGTACTGAGGAAATAGAAACGTGTTTGTCATTGAGCCGAAAGCTACACAACATGCTTTGTGTGTAGTGGCCGCCGCGATTACCGTAATCCGATTTTTAGTGTTGCAAGCCGAAGATTTACCGCTGAGCCATAGGAAAGCACAATTTTTCAGATCCACACTTCTAAGTTATTGATGGTTATGTATGATCCTTAGTAGTCTCATATGAGGGACAGTTCAGTTTGAAAATACCAAAAACTGAAAAAAATATGAGATGGAAGAATCTTGTGCTTTTCTATAAGATTTACATAAAACTGGTGAAACAACAGTATTTGACACTAGAATGTTTAATTTTTTTTTCTTATTTGGTTCTTGATTTTGACAAATTTTTATTGGTTATACAGTTTAAATGAACGAAGTTGCTGCCCTTGGAACTACATCTTATACTGTAAACCGTGTTCACTTTTATTGTCATACTTTCATATTATTCATCGACACCAAAGTTTTCATAGTAACACATATTTGTAAAAACCTTCAAGGTTAAAGTTCATCTACAAATACAATGACGAAATCACCATTAGACCCTTCACTGTAGGTGAAAATTTAAGTAAACCAGAGGAACAAAATCTCATTTACATGGCTATTATATGACAGGTATGCGATCAAATAGGATTGACACCATTCTCGTATCTTCTTCGATATTTCGCACTAAATAAAGAAACCTATAAGTTCTATATGAAACTTGTAAATCTCAGTCGACTTCTTTTCTTATTAATATGTTAAGTTACAGAAAAAAAAAAAACTTATAGTAATTATGAAATCATTACAGAAAACCTGTAGCATGAACCTTTCATCATTATGTTTATAAACTTATGTTAGAAAATCGGTTAAAGGTTTTTTCAGCTTTGGATCAAACCTGAATTATTCATTAGAAAAAAACAAGTCGCTCAGTTTCTGAAAATTGACGACCGAAACGTTATATATATATATATATGTTCTTTATATAAGTGTTTATGTACAGTGTTCTTGTTTTAACAACTTTATCAATACATTACTACAATCTGAACTCTAAATATATTTCAGATTTTCTCCAGATAATCACAACCGCAGTCCACTTGCTTGGCAGCCATTTGGATATGGACCTAGAAACTGTATTGGGATGAGATTTGCTCAGTTGGAAGCCAAGATGGCCTTAGCTAGAATGGTTCAGAAGTACTTCTTGAGGCCTTGTGAGAAAACTGAAAAGGTAAACAAAATAAAATAGATTTTTATCAAGTGTCCTACCAAACACACATATATATACACGCAAATGAGATACTATGAAAACTATATCACCATTACGCGGATAATCTGTATATTTTTTATTCCTATGTTAATTCTGACTGAGTGTTAGATGAATGTAGAAGACTTGTTTTGTCTTTCTATTTTGTCACGTGTATGTCATATACTATTATTCTTAGAATTATAACATTCTTTCTTTTATCGCATGATACGCAGATAGATCAGTATTTTTATGTCATATATATATTTAGTGATACACAGATATATCAGTATTATTGTGTCATATATGTGTAGTATGATCCACAGTTCTTCTAACTTTTTTATCTTTTGTTTTTCCAGCGTATTGGAAACAGAATATAAGTTTGATTTTAGAACTTCTAATCGTTTATTAATAATTAATTTCATATATAATTTCATAAATTAATATCTAATGTTTTCATATACTTAACTTTCAAGTATATATGACGAGGTTGGAGGATATTTAATTTGGAGCTTGTCGACTTTTACATTTTACCTTTTGATATTGAATATATACGTTTGGTCATATGAATATACCTTAACTTTGACTTGATTATCTTAAATCTCTTGTAATTTCAAAGTGATTATATATAATTCACTCATAAAGCTCTGATTGTAAATTATTTGAATTCTATAGTAGAATAACTTTAATGTTTTATTATTCACGCACAAAATGATGAAAGAGCAATTGATTTAAGGTTAACTTACAGTTCTTTATCACATTTTTTTATTTGTCTATCAGAAACTGACCATCAGAACAGGTTCAGCAATTATCAACCCTGCAAATGGAATTTTTGTAAAATTTGTCCGAAGAAATTCTCTGAAATGACGCATCAGAACACCAAGATATCCTTTCTGAACCCACACTATAATTGAATGTTTAATAATTAATATAAAAATATTTTGAAGAGGATAATTTTAGTCTATGTGTGTATATCTCATTTTTTTTCTTCAAAATACACTGTGTATTCAAATATTCAATAGTCAAATAAATGCTAAAATACGACTTGTATCAAATTGCTGAGTTGACTTTCGTTTGTATTTAAAAAATTCTCTACGCCCATATTTATAAAACCACATGAATTGGAAAAATAGAATTTGAATAGTATTTCATTGCACATCATAAAATTATAAATTAAAGTTAGCTTGGATAAAAAAAACAACACAAATTCTTTATTAAACAAACACATTGTTCTGTTACCCTTTTCGCCAGACTTCTTCTGTTTATGTGGCTGTTGCAGTTTAAAAAAAGATCTGGCAAAAGAGATCATTCAAGACCTACAGAATTGTGATAAAACACCCACCTTTCATGTACCAAAAATTGAATATGAAACCCAATCCAACATTCAATTTACCACTTGTCACTGAGTTAACAGTTAACATGGGCAAGGGTAAATCGAAAAAATAAGACTAGATCTCATATAGTGGTGAAGTTTATATAATATCTACCAGCGTATAGCCCGTCAAAAATGACGGAGCAAGTACTACCACCCCCAACCCATAGGATACCCTAACTTCACATTTCATAGCGAACAGGTGTTAACGTACTTTTCGGAAAACTGTATTCAAGACTCCCTTTATTTGCTACAACCATACAGAACCTTGACTCTAAACAATCGTTTTTGGGCTCCTTCGACATCAGC